TAGTGAGATTTGACCTTTGAGATAGAAGAAAAGTTTGGTTTACACTTCAATAGTTTACTTTTGGTATCATTTTTGCAAAGATTGGAGCACATTGAAGTTTTGGGTCTAGAGGCAAGGACTTAGATTTTGGGGTGGCTCTAGGAGAAATTGTTGTTCTCCTCACCTTCTTCTTCATCTTGGTAGTATTAGCATTCAATTTGATGGAGTTTCATCATGGGAGCAAGGTTAGGTTTGCTTGCTTCAAGAGGTAGGGGTGTCTAATTTATGGAGTCCTTTGTTATTATGAGGTTTTATATGAATAATTTGTGATGTAGTATGTTATATATGTTTTTGTAGAGAAATTTGGTCACTATGTTAACTTTCATGCTATCTACTAGCAACTTGGTATCTAATTGTCAAATTCATATGATGTTCGTGTTAAATTCTTGCTAGCATGCTTGGTAGGATGAAGTTGTGTCAACTTGCAAGCTAAATTGATGATTCTAGAAAAGTTGTATATGTTCCGATGTGAAATTTGTTAAGTCTATGCAATAAATTATTATGATTGAACTCTCTTGACTACAAAGATGATAGGTGTTTGTCAAATTGTCTAAATAAGCCTTCTTGTTAGATTAAAGATGAAAAAACATGTTATTGAATATGGTTATCTTCTAAGTGCTTCTCGATCTTATGATTATTGGTACGTGTACCCTTGAGGTGATTTGATGTATTGTTATTTAAGAGCATGCTTACTTCCATGATGATGGCTAGGTGATTAGCTTCTTAACAACTGGAGGTTTTGGTTTACGAGGGACATTCATCATTCATGCATTGTGTAGTGCGTGTGTGGGTGGGATGGTTGTGTGAGATGGATGCATTTTCAAAGCTTACGTGGGGCTTGATTTTTAAAGTTTGAGGTAAAAGGGTTTATGGTAAGTGGGAGACGAACGATTGCCTTTTCTCAAGTGTGGTTGCGATAAGCAGGAGACGAGTGGTTGTCTTGTTCCCAAATGTGAATTGTGATAAATAGAAGACAAACGGTAGACTTTTTTCGGTGATCGGTAGCTAGGTCCCAAATGGTGATGAGAGGTTGACTTATGCAAGAATAGTTAGCCAGTGTTCCTAAAGAGTACGAGCGGTTGTCTTGTGCCATAAGGATTATTGATTTTCGCTATGAGTGTATTGAGTAAGTTTGGGTATTGGGAAAGGGGTGCGGTTAAATTTACGATTTTAGTCATAAACATGGCTAGGGAGTGTTCAGGGCATTGGCATATGCATGGCTTATATTGCATTAGTATCTTGGTGGTGCTTGGATATGTGTATGAGCTTTTATTGGTGTTTGTTGTTGATGTAGTCTATTTAATGGTCTTGGAATTTTCCCATACAAGTATAATCCATTCTCTTGACCACCATTTCTCTATGTGTTTACTCACGTAACTTTAGGAGTCATACCTTGGGCATATTCTACTGAGCGACTGTCGCTAACCCCATTATTATATAAATATTTTTAGGAATTAACAATGTAGTGGAGGTATTAATTCCACATTGTCTAGGAGGGGACGGACCGAGTTCTTTTGGACTTGTTTGGACATTTCTAACATAGCTTCGTATTGGCCTTTTGAAGAGTTGTAATTTTGATCTAAATTGGATAATCATGTAAGCGGGAGGATGTTGTGTATTTTGTATAGTCAATATTATTTTGAGCAGGTATATCTTTGGTTACTCTTGTTGTAAAGGACATTTCATATATGGGATATAAATGACGTTTCAATCATTCATTCTGTTTTGGTTAGGACATGTTTCAAATGGTTTAAGTGACCAAATGTTGTTTCAAAAAGAAAGATATTTAAAATGGGACAATTTTTTTAAAAAAAAATCTCTTGGTATGATCGATCGTACCCACCTTACGATCGATCGCGCCCCCAGTTTTTAAAATATCAAAAAAATTAAAAGCTGATTTTACTATTCACCATAAAATTATTATTGGATGATCGATCGTAAAGGTCCTACGCTCGATCGTAGGGCATTGGGCCTTGCGAACATGCAGTCTTTCCCACACACAATGGCACAGGGTTGACAACCTACGCTTGATCGCAACGCACCCTGCGCTCAATCGTAGGGCTGTTGAACCAAATTTGTCTTAGACTTACACACTTGATTCGAATGATGACTTTAAGCCACGTTGTGAACCGCAATGATTAAATGAAACTCAATAAAGGCCGATAATAAATTAATGAATTAAGAAATGACCATTTTGCCCCTAGTATGTCCTCAGGTCCGGGCAAAGACCCGAAATCATATCACAGCCCGTTAGTGAATCGGGTCTTCTGGAGTAAGGCCGTTACATTATTATAAAGTGTCATTAAACACCTAAATACTGTTTATTGACCGCAATTTTTTGATAGCTTTACTGATAAAATCGTTTGTTATTTTATTTTTATTTCAGCAACAACCCCAAACGGACTCTAAGTAATGAATTGGATTATCAAACTAACACCTTATTAGTGGCGTGAAAAAGTTGATTATATATGTATATATACATATACAACTATAACACGAATGGTAATAGACAATTATGGTAAAAAATGTGGTAGCATTAATATGTTAATTGTTCATATATATTACAAATAAACATAAGTATATAATTCATTGTATTTCTTTTACTCATAAAAGAAATAGAATTTCCATTTTTTATCACCAATATTCATATATAATTTTTTTTTAAACAAGCATAAGTACAAAGTTATTTAATTCACTATAAAATTTTATAAAATACCTATATATATATATATATATATATATATATATATATATATATATGACACTGGTTATGAATCATGAAATATAAAAATAATAGCTTTCTTACTAACTAGGAAAATGGAATTTTTAGGTTAATTACCAATTATTTTCCTATAGTTGCACACTATTTAAATTTTTTTTCTTTCTTATAATGCAATATTGATCAAAGACAATTTAAACTTGTTTTTCAAAAAAATTATGTAATTTAAATGTATTGCATAATATATAATACGGAAAATATATAATACGTGTAATATATAATTCAACTAAAAAAAACGAATATACGTAGTTTTTATTTGTAAGAACATATGTATATTATAAGAGTATAATACATGATTTTGCTAACTATCAAACGTCTATCATTTACTTCGGAAAATATTCATTTTATATACTTGAAAGATCATTATAGTTGGGTGTTATTTTGATCAACAAGTATAAACTTTGAACAATTAAATACAAATCAATGACCTAGTTTTTTATTATACGAGTTTAAAATAAAACAAAATTTTAATTTATCCCTCCTAAAGTCTAAATCAAATGCAAACATAATGTTTCCACCTACAAAGCAAATATATGAATACATCAAAATATATATATATATATATATATATATATATATATATATATATATAATATTTAATTATATATAAAAATAATATTTTATTTTTCATTTTATCCATATAATCATGGATAAAATCATTAATTTGGAACTTATAGTGAGATGATTGTTAATTTTGTTTTCTTAAGTTTTATGTTATTTTTAATTAACCAATAACACATTTTAAATTGTATTGAATGACTTTTTAAAAATATAATTATTACAAAACCACTATGTCATGTCTTTAAAGTGTCTAAAAACATATAATTGCCACGATATCTTAAGAGAAGTATCTATGTTTCCTAGTTTTCCCCATACAATTTCGAAAAAACTCTAACCTGGATACTTCCATTGCTAAAATTCAAAGGTAAAAATTCAATTCAAAGTGTGGAATAAAAATTATCTATGAAGTTTAGGCTTAGTAGAGCACGATATTCTTAATAAAAATAATGTAACTTATTTTTATTGAGAAATGTGAGGTATGAAAATGTATTCAGGTAAATGAAATTAAAAAGCGCTTTAGGAACAAAATCTGTCTTGAACTTTGGAAAAAACAAAAAACAATATTGTATATAAGTAAATGAAATTAAAAAAACGCTTTAGGTAAATGACATGTTTTAGCTAACAAAATTATTTAATAAGATAAGAAAATGGATAATTATTGGTCCAAAAAATACTTACTAAAGAAAGAAGTCTACAGTGGCCCTAAAATTCCTCGTGGGCCTGGTTTCCTATTGGGCTGACCCACCACAAAGTTAGGTCCAATTCCTAGAATGCTTGGCCTAGGAAGTTGTTGGAGTCTTTTCCTGAACGGGTGGGATGGGCCAGATCCGGCCCAGTAGGATTGTTTTGTCCCTTCAACTACCCATTTATGAAAATAAGACACGAGATATACAAAGTTGTACTATATTATGGCATTAAATTAATAAATCATACTATTGAACCAGCGGCAAGACTAAAATAAATAAATAAATAAAACATTTAATAATGTCTGAACATATATAGATACATGTATATTATATATTGTAATGAAAAGATAAAGTCACACATGAACACTAATATTTTAACAACAAATTTTTAATACACAGCTTATTTTAATTCAAATTACTTCACAGCACCAAAGGAATTAAGTGACTGAAATTTTGACAAATTTTTTATCTTCCAACATACACAATTACTTTATTAGCATTAAATTAATAAATCATAATATTAAATAATAGTGGCAAAAGCAAAAATAAAAATAAATAAATAACAAATTAACATTATATGACACATGCACACACATATATATACATGTGTATATTGTGAGGGAAATATATTGTAACACATGAACAGTAATATCTTAATAGAAAATTTTAAATACACACCTTATTTCAATTCAAATAATTTCACAGTATCAAATGAATTGAGTGGCTGGAATTGTGACAAATTTTTTATCTGCCAACATACATAATTACTTTATTAGCATTAAATGAATAAATCATACTATTAAATAATAGTGATAAAAGCAAAAAATAAAAATTATGAGCATAATATGTGTGTGTGTGTGTATTGTTACTATTGTAAGGGAAAGATATTGTAACACATGAACAGTAATATCTTAGTAGAAATTTCAACTTCATGCCTTATTTCAATGCGAATAACTTCAATGCAACAAAGGAATCGAGTAGCTGGAATTGCAACAAATTTTTTATCTGCCAACATAAATAATTACTTGAGCAGTATTAAATAAATAAATAAATCGTACTATTGAATATAGTGCTAAAAGGAAAAGACAATAATTTAACATTGTTTGTACATATAAATATATATAACATGTGTATGTATGTAGTGTAACAGAAAGATATTGTAACACATATATAAATTACTTGATTGAACCAAATGATCATTGTAAAGAATAAAGTATACACAAGGAAATTGCATGCACACATTGCATTGCCTACCTTACTGTTGCCCTGGTGAACAGCTTTATGGAAATATGGATTGAAGCATTAAGATTATGATTTATATGACTGGAAGAAAGCTGCAAAGCCAAGTTCAAGAGTAATATACTTTTCTTACATAGACAAACTTATATATATATATATATATATATATATATATATATTGATTTAGAGAGACTAAAGAAAGGAATAATTCATGAGTTACATCTTCTTTTCTTGGGATTTTTTGTACTTGACAGGGAAGGAATATATCAAAACATGCAAGTTGTTTTATGTGTTTTATATCTCAAAAGATGCTTTTCTTGGCCTGTGAACACTCATGCAAAAGATGAATTAAATATGAAACATTAAAATATCAATTTTGATTTCTTCTGCATTTTCACCAAAAGCTATGATCACATATAAAATCTTTTATGGTAAAATGTGATATTGTATTTGCTGATTATAAACCCTTGTGCTTAAATGTAAAGCATTGGGTATATAGATTTAGGTTGCTATGGAGGTCTAAGTATGAGAAAGCCTACATTACATGTACAACGAGACCTCTTTGTCGGGTCATGTATCAGGTGGACTCCACCGTCACCTTCAATGACCGAGATTTTGGTTGTAGCGGAGGTCTAGTAAGAGAATTGAAAGTCTACAATAGGTGCCACAAGACCTTTCAGTCGTTAGATCATCTATCAGGTAAGCTCCATCACCACACTTAATGATGGAGAGCTTTAAAAGTACAATACTTCAAGGTATCGTAAAATTTTCCATCTAGTACACCACCTTTTGCAAAGGATTATCTTTATCAACTCACATTGGCACACATTCATCTTCTCATTTTTTTTATTTTTTTATTTTTTTAGTTTTTTCGTCATGGCACACATTCATCATCTTACTAAACATATACTGTACATTGGATGCTTTTATTTTTTTATTTTATGTTTTTTTGTCCTGGCGCACATTCATCTCTTACCAAACATATACCGTACATTGGATGCTAAAGATTATACCAAATACCAAAAGAACTCTCAATTTAAAAATCTTTGTGCCTGCCAAAGATTTTTATTTAGATTTCACTTTTACTAAAATTATTTCATTCTTTAAGGCTCCACAACAGACATAAAATATTCTTTTTTAAGAATATATTTTTTTTTCAAGTAAAATATTCTTTTATTTTTACTTTTTCAGTGTTCGACAAAAATCTATGTCAAGATTAAAATCGAGTCAATCAGCATGTAAAATAACTTATCAAAAATTGATGAATAAATTATTTTTAATAAATTTTAATATTTTTTTTTTATATAAATATTTTACGACAACCAAACACCAAAGATTAAAAAATAATGTTTTCTGAAAAATATTTTACGTCCAAACAAACGGAACCTAAAAGTCTAAACATCAATCTCAACTGACAATCTCCTGAATTTTTATTTGGATTTTGCTTATAAAGCATAATTGATACATGTTCAAAACATTGCTATGACAATTAAATAAGTTTTTCCATCATTCATAGACCAAAATTAAGTTTAAATGCAGTAATGATACAATGACATGAAGGCGACAAATACAACTAGTTTTTACAAATTAAGGTAAAATAGACATTCAAAATTTAAAGCAAAAATGTAACAAAATGTCCACTATTTCTTTTTTCTTTTTTTCAAGCACATGCCTCCACTGAACCCCGACACTATTCCAAGAAAAACACAAACAAATGAATTTTACATTCTCATTGGCAAGGGGGGTTTCTTGCAAATACAATTTCTTCCTGTTCTTGCTTTATCCTTCTGCGGATTTCAAAGGTTACGCAGCATTGTCCTAGGCAGAAGACTCGGGTATTTTGTATTGTTTCTTGAGGAATTGAGAAGCCTCGGAATCGCTCCTGTGACATAATATTCGTATTAGGGTACGAGTATCAGCACCCAGCTTGCTTCTGCCACCCTGCATGTCTAACCCACCGGAAGATCTCAAGTCCTCGATCAATTCTCGTGTCTGCAATCAATTAATAACGATGAGTTAAAATCAGATATCCCTGAAATCCATTACAGATGACTTGGGAGGAAAATGAGTGCAGAATGGTGAAAATGACAGCCAACTTCAGCGAATAAACGAAAACGAATTTTAGGCTTCGCTTATATAGACAGAACCATTTAGAAAGGATAACATAATGCAGACGGGATTATTTTCCTTTGGTTGGTTACCATGAAAAACATAGGAGAGAAGAAAATACAAGGGAAAGGAGATATTTTAAATATTACTACATGTCATTCCCTCCCTTTCCTCTTATTTTTAGAATTTTTTAAGCAAGAAAAAGAACACGACAGAAATGGCTTTTTCATTTCTTCCTTTTCCTAACTAAATCCGTGAATCAAGAGACTGATATTTTATTTCATAAGCATATATGTAAATTATAGCCTGCAATTGGGCAGTTCAAGACAAGAATCATGAATAACTAATTTATTTGTTTATTTGTTTTATATTTTTGCTTCATTTTCACCTCAACCTCCTGGTAAAGTGCATTGAATAGGTTTCTGCAGTTATCTTCTTATTTTCAATTTCTATTAAGTATAATTTAAGAACTAACCTCATAGCCAAGCAACTTTATAACCTGCCGTACACGTGCTACTTGATTTTCAACGACTCCACGAGGAAGTCCATCTCCTCCGGAAATAAAGAATTCCTGTGAAGAAGCCAGAAATTATGTAAAATATGAGGAAAAAAAATATCCTCTAGAATAATTTGAAAGTAACATGATCTTAAACTTTGGAGCACCCTCAATTTTATCTCCTTTTCTAAATAAGGAAATCAGATGTAATAAGCCTCATATTGAAACGATATTCATTTTGGTCCAACACGTGTTTCAATAAGTGATGGTGAGGACTTTGCCTACTCTAATACCATGTTAACAACCATCACTCTGAAAGCTTAAACTGTCAATTTTTTAAAATTAAAATCCTTCGAACACTTGTCAAGGCACTAAATGAGGGTTCTCCTTTGCCATAAACAAGAATGTGTCCAAATCAGTGAACCAAAAACTTTGCATGACAGCCATCCTTAGGATACCTTTAAGATCTCCAAATCTTCTTCCAATAGCTTAGCATCGCCCGGGAAGAAAACACGTGATGGTCCTCCATCTAGTATAACACGGAGCAAGCCATCCTGGGGGAAGATAGCGTTTCATTAAAAGAAAAAATATAATGTTCATGACTGACAATTCACAAGTGGGAGCAAAGTACAGACCAGTGATGCTTGGAGAAGACCTGTCACAATGCGGTCCCTGAGCGGCTCCATAATGATATCACACAGTTGATTCAGTACCTGCAGAGTTTGACGAAGATGGACAACCCTAAATTTAGCATCAAATGAACGAAGTTGAAACAAATCAACAATTTATAAACGACAGGGTCACTACAATTTTAAATATGAAAATTTTCAACCAAACTTAAGAGCTTAGAAATTAATTGACAGTTCAGACTCAAGATTCAAAAGTAGGTGCAAATGTAAAAGCTTTATTAGAATCATCAAATAATAGGAGCTCTTAGGATTGATAAGAAGTGGTACAACGCCCAAATCAGAGCTCAAAAAATCCTAGAAAATCCAAGCAAAGCAGAGAAAGGTTCAACTTGGCTTCTTTCGAATTCCATATTTCATGCACTTTACACAACAGATATTTATAAAATTCATAGCTCAAAAGTCCAAGGGACGTGTTTCAGCAAATATCAACTCTGAATGCTGAGCTCAAGTATAGAAGCATCTTGCAAACAGTAACAGGTGAATAGTTTTTGTAGCCTTTCCACTACATCACAAATCTATTAGGATTAGATTGCATGCTTAAAGCCCCCATAATGCATATGATAGCAAGATTAAGGAACTCCACTGTAAAGAACAGTATAAATTTATTTATATGCCACTGATAGACTACTTGCTCTGAAAGCATAAGCAGTCAGAAAATGGACCACACAAAATATTTTAAGCTCTCATACCTTCCCTCGCATATCAACCCCTCTTCTAAGAGAAGACTAACAGACAGATGGAACGGAGTTCAAACAGAAAAAGAATTGTGAAACAAATGCAAATGGTAAGACTTGAACCCAAGGCCTCAGAGAATCAAAATTCTAACACCGTGTTAGACAACTACATGTCCCAAAAGCTTCAACTGTTGGGGAATGGTCAAACAATGTATGGTAAGGTTTCATAGCTACATTAGTTGCTAATATGAGAGAAAAAAAATGAAAAATGTAAGAGAGAGAGAGAGAGAAGAAAAGGAAACAAGCACAAAGGAAAAAGGAAAAGACAATTTTTTTCCACATAGACTCGACAATCAGATTTCCAACCCCAACTAAATATATTGTACGGAACATAACTTCCTGATAAGAAAAATCATACCACGTCAAGTGGTTCAATTAGTGCTTCCAACCTAGACTGAGAAACATTGGGTTTATATAAATTTTCAATGAATGGCTCCCTTAAATCCCAGAAAATAATCTTAGTTCCTGCAAAATATCACAAAAATAAAGATCAGCTATCAGAATTATTTTTAAGGAATTCGATAAAGAAAAATACATAAATTCTCACCAGTGAACTCACAAATCCGATCGATAGCTGCATTAATATCTTTTCTACTTCCATCAAATGTGTCCTTCTGCTTGAAACTTCTAGAGTTTTCATCGATGGATTTCCCTAGAGAAAAAAGGGTCAATGAAACAATAAAAGGTTTTTGGAGGATAAAGTGTAGTGGTATCTAGTTTTCAGTGAAACATGTTGTTCAGAAAAGGTTTTTGAAGGATAAAGAGTAGCGGTATCTAGTTTTCAGTGAAACATATTGTTCAGAAAAATATAACCTATATATAGCATATGAATCATCAGCAATACCAACAAAAAGGCATCGCAATACCCATGCTTACAGTTGGGACTAGCCTTATAGGAAATCAGAAATTAACATCTTCAATCTGAATGACAGGCTGAAATAACAGATAATAATCGACTTGCATTGTTTTTGGGACCGCTAGAAAAACAGAGAATGGGTAGAGAAGGTCCATGCAATGACGTCCAGGTGTGTTATATGTCCCATTATGAAGTAGTTTTGGGTCATCTTGTTGTCACCTATGATAAAACTTTCCTCCATGTTTTGACACCAGAGCTGTGGTACAGAGACATGCTATTGGACCCAACGAATAACCAGGTGGTTAAGATGAAGTTTAAGAATACATACTTTAAATAAAATGGAGAGAAAACTACTTTAGGGAGTTAAACACAAACTGACTAAGTGGTTTTAAGGAAAGTGACCAAAATTTTTTTACCTATCTACCAAATATATGAGTTTTCAAGTTCTTATCAAAGTTCTCCATCTCCATATAAACCAGATATTGAGCTTGCAACTATTACCTTTTCTTTTTTCTTTTTCTTTTTTTATTTATTATTTTTTCCTATTTGCACGGGGATGAGATAGAAAAAAAGATATAGTAAATAACTAGTTCTATTAAGAAACAGAACTCCTTTATGGTTTCTTTTTAATTTGTATGCCCCGGATTATAAAGAACTTTAGCTGCTTTGAAGTGTCATTTTAGATGGAGAAGTATGTAGCGAGTCATCCAAACAAAATCCATCTACAAATAGAAAGGAAGTGATTATTTAAATTGACCATATCTGCTGAATACATGTCCCCAATCAATTTATTTCAGCAGAGCTTTCAAATGCTCCTGTATCTTCCAAAAGGAAAAAATTGCGCCCCCCCCCCCCCCCACCCAAAAATAATAATAATAATAATTTTGCAGCTCTATGTGTAGCAGGCACTTATCTAAATTATTTCGGTAGAGCTTTCAAATTCTTATCATAATTATCCTTCCTATAAAAAAATAATACTACGTAATAATTTTGCAGCTCTGTATGTAGCAGGCATTTATCAGAACTTCACAAAGCACCCACTTTTCCCCCCAGTGATGACATTACATAATGCACCTACTCAATAACTAGTCATATTATATAAAGACCTTCTAGAATCTTCTCCCCTTGATTCTGTACCTTGGATGATAGAATATTAGCTGCCACAAAGGATCATTGAATTGAAAGAATTTTGTCAATTGATGCCACATGGTATACTAGTTCCAGAGAATTCAAAAATAATATAAAATTTATATGTTTTGGTACTTACTCAATGGCTTATCATGAGGCTTTTTCCCTGTCCACCGCTCCCAAATGCTATCTTCCAACTTAGTCAGCTGGCTAATGGCATACTATTAACAGGGGGAGGGGGGGGGGGGGGGGGGGGGGGGGGGGGGGGGTGAGTTTGTGTTAGAATGACATTATGCATCACCTAGTATATATCTACTCAGTATACAAAATAAATTTACAGTAAGAATAAAGGTAAGGGGATTAATAACTATACAAAATTTAAAAAAAAAAAAAATTGAACAGAACAAAAATGTAAATATTGATCAGGCACTATGGCAAGCATATTAATTTTTAACTAAAAATATACCTCAAGTCATCAAGGAAATTTTAGTTTAAAGTGCCGAAGAATGATGTTAGGGCTTGTATTCCAACAAGTTTTAACTAGAAATGAATTTAGATAGCAAGGATAGCAACAAGGGAAAATGATCAAAAACTGTCACCACATTGCTACATCTTCTTGGATTTTCAAACAAATAATTGAAATGAGCTTGCAAATTACTCATTTTCATACCAACTTTAAACTAGGACTTGCAGAATACTTATCTACATGCCTAAATATGCACTGTCCAAAGAATTATCCTCCGAAATCCTATGCAAGATACATCTTGGAAGAACTTTGGCTAAATCTCTTCCAACTACAGGTCGAGTCCTAGGTTTCTTTCCATTTACTTTACTTTGAGAAGCTTGCTGGATTCTGATGAGAGTATGGTTCTATAAGTTGCCTAGCTCACTAAGAAAGATAAAATTGTGTACTGCTTGGGTACATATACATTTAAATCTTTCTGCACGGATAACACAAATAAAAAAATTATTAATATATTGTCCGGTGGGAACTTTGTCTCATGAGAACGAGTTAAGAACCCATGTCAACCTGCTATCACAAAAGGAATAGTTCACTTGCATTGTACTTGGTGATTTTACTCAATAATTAAATCTAAACATGATGAAGTTACAGGAAAAAATAATAATAAGATGACTAATGCTAACAGCGGTGTAGCCTGATGGTACTTCCTCACCTTACAAGGGAGAAAGTCGACGGTTCAAGTCCCCATGGGCATTGTGGGTGTGTGAGTGTATTTTTTGCCAATGAAAAAAAAATGATAACAACAAAGTGTACATAGAAATTATTCTCTTGAGTCTCAACAGATGATTAATTATTCATGCCCATTATTCTCTTCCAAGTCCAGTACTGAAACAATTGATTCTGTTATTTTCATATGCATAAGCACTAAGTATTATCAGAAGGAATAACTCCAATTCTGCAAAAAAGAGAGAAAACCAACAACTATAGAAAAAGGGAAAAATGAAATTGATTTTGAACTCACATGAAGAGTATTTAGCTGAACACAAAGTGTTGGTGTGGTTAAAATATTAATTTCACAAGACCTTCGCACATCAGGTAACCTTGGGTCAATTAGTTCCTTCTTCACAAAAGCCTTGATTCCAATTTCCTTCTTGTATCTTGTAAGTATAGGCACAGGTGGAATTATATCTTCTTTGGTAGCTGCATGGTCAAAACATATCGTATAATTGGGGGAAAAGGAAATAATAAAAGATTATCTAGAAGATAAAAAAAATGGCTACATGCAAGACACTTAAGTAACTAAAACTTACATTATAAGAGAGCTGCAAATATTGTATAACTAGAAAATGATACCAAATTCCATCCATCTTTTTGAAAAAAATGCATCCATCTTCTTATGTTATTGAGGTGTTTACCTCTTTTCTGATGTAGTATTATTTTTTTATAATACCTCTTTTCTGATGCACTATTATTCCTTTATAGTTAATAAAATTCCCATTCAAGGAAAAATAAATAAATAAATAAATAAAACCAATTTAAAAGGAAGCACCGACAGTTTTTTTTCGAAAGGTAAGAAACACCAACAGTTCATAATACTACCTTGATACAAAAAGGCCATAAGTCTAACATAACTTCAATGTACGATATGACGAATTTTTGAATGCCAGTTAACAAGTTTATATGTACAAGTAACATAAATAATTTTTTATTTTGTCAGACATCAATAGTTCTCCGAGACTCCATGTAAAATGGAAAATATAAAATATTTGCAATGTTTTAAATGTGATTAATTACTATTGTAATTGAAGGACGTAGAAAGTGTTGAAATTGAAGAGAGAAATAGAAAATGGAGAACACAAGGATATATGTGGTTCATCCACTAGGGCTTACATCCACGGCACACAAACCCAAAGGGCTACATATCTTTATTATACTCTCTTGATTGTTGTGTACAATGATCACCTTTATTTATAGGTGAAATGAGAAAGAATTGTAGTTAGAGAATAGAAAATACTTGCTCTACAAGTATTCTTACATTACAAGTATTTTTTAATAAATGAATTACACAAAAAGTAAAATACAAATATGGCAACAAGTCTGTAGCAATAATCTGTCAGGGTTCCTATAATAATATTCTCGAGTTGATCCGAAGAACTGAGACGAGTTGATCCGAAGAACTGAGATGAATAGAGTATAGAGCAAGATATGATGAACCTGCTTTGATACCATGTTGAAATTGAAGAGAGAAATAGAAAATGAACACAAGGGTATACATGATTCAGCCACTAGGGCTTACATCCATGGCACACGAAGCCCAAAGGACTACATATCTTTGTTATACTCTCTTGATTTTTGTATACAATGAGCACCTCTATTTATAGGTGAAATGAGAGAGACTTGTAGCTAGAGAATAGAAGTATTCTTACTTTACAAGTACTCCCTCCGTCCCAAAAAGAGTGTCATGTTTGGGGAACTATGACTCACAAGTTGTGAGTCGTGTTTGGGGAACTTGTGAGTCACAATTCCCTAAACATGACTCTTATTGGGACATAGGGAGTATTTTATAATAAAAAAATTACAAATAAAGTCAAATACAAATATGGCAACAAGTCTCATAGAAATATTATGTCGAGTAATTTAACTAAAGGTTCCTATAATAATATTCTCCAACACAAAGTATTATACAGAGTCCTAGCTGTCTTCTTGACCTGCCATTTATAAAGTGCCAATGTAACATGTATGTATCACATCGAGCCCATGTGTGAGTCCATTGTCCTTGTCTATGCAAGCATAATCCACATTTAGGGGTCTTTAGGTATATATCATCCCATTTAGTCGTCAAAATATGTCCGTGGACATATTGAAAGATTTACTGATATAAAGACAGTATCCCCAGTATTAGACATAGAGACAATGTTGTTGACATTTCAACCCAGATAAATGCATAGCATCATGTGATTACTGATATTTTATCTCAAGTAAATTTGGTTAGCTATACCAGAATCCTTATTCTTTTAAATTTTTGAAGGCATCACTGTGCCAGAATCCTCTTTCCTTGACAGCAATTCATATGTCAGACTAATAGCTTTAGGTTCTGTTCTCAACCTTTTCCTTTTGTCTTCCTAGGCTCCTTTACTTACCAAAACTTCTTCAAATCATCATAAAAGTAAACAATTTCTGATGCACCAGTTGGATTTAGTGAAAGAAAAAAGACAAAGATAGCATCTTAGGGCTTCTCAGTAAGAACCAAAGACAAGGTAAGAACCAATACGGAAGATTTATACCTATGGGTATGCAACACCAACAATTATTATCCTACTCGCATAAGGGAAGGCCATACCCTTTAGGGCCAGAGGTGGACGAGGATAGACCCAGACCCTCAGTACCATGGTTCATGACCACATTGTCTAATCCTTTGAGCTACAGCGCCAAGCCTTCAAATCTGTTTCAACTAGGTTTGTTACAAGGATCATTAGATGCATTTAAGCAAGAGTCCAGTTTGCCATGACAATGGTTTACATTGCACGAGCAAGATTATCCTACTAAAGCAACCTCCAACTGATTAGATCAACTCATTAGTATGAGATATTCCATAAAAGATGCACTAATGGAAACTGGATGTCTTGCTTGGATTTCTCAACAAGTCATGAGAGACATGATTCTAGTAAAGGAACAGCCATGTACATAAACCAACCCACTAAAACATGTTACTCCAAAGAGATGGCATGCTAATGATAGGCAATATTCTTCATTATTTTTAATGTGTAAACGCAGTTCGAATTCCCTTAACACAGAATACTGTAAAAATACAAATTTTGCACACCTATAAGTGCAGAGCTCAGCTTTCGAGAGAAAAAGAAGAAAGTTTAACGCAGTAAGAATGTGCAGAAGCAGTAGACGAAGCAAGGACATACCCAACTTGTCAACAACATGCTCTGCATACACTTGAAAGGCATTGTCAATGCCACGAAAAAGGCTATTCAGTTCTCCGTCTCTCATTGGAACCTTAAGAGCAAAAAATTGATCAACTGTCTGCAATCAGAAAAGAATAATAGGATGCATTAGTAACTCTATTATGCAGAAAAATAATTGCAGTAGTGAAAGCACATACAAGAAATGACAGAAGATTGTTTTCCCCAAGTAATGACAGCAGATTTTTACTTGTTCCAACTTCCAAAAAAAAAAAAATGCAACTTCCGCATGGAAGCTCTAAGCATATTAGCAGTAACCTTACTTAATGTGCCATAATGTCTTTTTTTTTTTCCTTTCCCCTTACTAAAGCGTTTGGACTAGGAAGATCAGAAGAGTCAAATGCGCTACCATAGCAGGTGGGAAGAGTAATAAAAGATGAAAAAGCAATTCCAAAATGACTGTTTTCCATAGATGATGTTTGGTCTCACATCGTGGTGCAGAAGTGGTTCTATCAACTCATAAAACTTGATTCTTTTTTCTGCTGATGGAGGTTTAACCACCTTTTCAAGGTGTGAACCAAGACAACCAAAAGTCACATCCACTGACCTAGAACGTCAATTAGAATTTGTGAAATCAGGTACTTCTTCCATTCCTGCAGGTCTTCAATAATTTTCAAAATAAATAATTGTGCTACTTTCAACTTTTCTTGATTTGTTAGTGAAGTGCAAAAACAGCTCCACTTTTTTCCTCTTCTTGCCATTCAGGTGGGAAAGAAAGTACTACTGGTCATGTCCTTCGTTGACACAAAGCTTCTCACCCAATCCATGGTTCACCCAATAAAAAACAGCCATACAGAGCCAAATGCCGTGATTAGGAGTTATGTATAACATACAATCTGTTAATATTTAGAAGTCCACGTGTAATAAGCAAGATGCACTCAGCTGTACATTTTACTGTAATGCATATGATTTCATTTTAAGTTCTTTATAATTCATTAAGTTTCAAAGGAATTAATATAACCAAGTAAGGTAATAAACATCAGATAGCATCTTTTCTGTTTTCAGTATTATGCTAATGTGCTTAGCCACGAGAATGCCTACCACACCATTGCTCATATATTAAAGAATGTTACACACTACTTACACATAATGTGTCGTGAGATATACATAATGAAACCGGGGAGAAAAAAATTTGACAAAAGAAAAAAAAAAAAAAATTGCCAATAAAAATTGAATATAACATAGAAACCTCTTCCACGATCCTATAAACTTCAACAATTGAACTTCCATGTCGTTGCTGAGGCGATACTGGGTTCCACCGCTGTAAATTAGTCAAGAAGAGCATTAATCAATATATAATGAATGAAAGGACATAAATGGGAGATGAGGAAGAGGCTACATACGCCCATTTGAAAGGAAAATGTGACAAATTTTACAGCGAAACAGAAACATGGAAACCACAATAAAGAATGCCCAAGGTTACTAATACATAAATTGTGCAAAAAGAACTGCCAGCACAAAAGTATACAAAGGAACTATCATGTGCACAATGACAATGTCCTAATATCACCTTACATCCCTTCTTCTGTTCAATAATTCTTCTTAAGCAGACAACGTTGCCATGTTACTATAATGCTAAAAACTAACAACAATTAAACAATATACTAATCAACGAGATAGAACTGTGACAAAAGAAATTAAAAGACGAAAAAGTTAAAGCACTAAAAATTTGAAATTTCTATACTACAAAATTCAAGGAACTGCAAAATATGCAAACAGTACACCAGGATTCATTAGAAATCTTAATCAAAGTTGGAAGTAGGGGTTGTGGTGAAATGGTCACTTGACTTTGACCACAACACCTTTGTTTCCAATAACTCAGTCCATGTGGGAATGATTTTATACTCATCGAAGCTACCATTATCTGTCCAACTTATCTAGGCCATGAACACGGTGGTATTTCTATCTTTTGGATTACTGATGTTCTTAGCCTTTTTTTTGTGTTGGCTAATGACACTATGGGGACACTCCCAAAGAATATTATAGAACAACCAATGGTGTACCCACAAATTCAATGATAAATTTCAATATGTAGTACACTCCCCTACACATGAATTGTGTAGCACAAGCAGAGTCTAAAAGAAGCCATTTCTGACAATCCTGGAAACAAGTTAGACACAACTTAAATGTCCAACATTTTTTTTTCTTAAGAAAATTTAGTATTGTACACATGACAACACAAGTCAAGCATCCACTGGACACTTTCTTAATATAGGACAAGAATATATTAGTGATAAACTTATAGTAGGAGAATATCATATATTATGAGATTTGGTTAGTTTCATTTTCCACATTATGCAACTCTTAGCATAAATATTATAATTAAGCAAATTATATACCTGTCTTAGATAATCTAATATATACAAATAAAATTTTATAACTACATATTCACGTGTCCTCTCTACAATCTACATCCATATCCACTTTACCAAGATTCACGTGTCAGTGTACTGGTATCACGTGTGCTTTATGCTATTCTTTAAAATGTTCCTATATCGGCATACAAACTTCCAAACCCAATCGACTGCATATTTTACTCTAAAAAACAGAATGCTCTAAATCACCTAGAAGCTGATAAAGACATCCAACCAACTATAATGTAATATGTTCATCCCTGCACTCAGCGTTCCTTAAATAAATAAATAAAAGAGAATGCTAAGTAATTTTTTTGTCCAACTCGTAGACTACACAATTTTTGCCTCTAAAATTTGCTATCAGTTTAGCCATATAACAGGGGTAAGGTTGTAAAGTTATTGAGGAACAGTTATTTATATTTGCAGTTGTTTTTGTTTGCTCATTGGTAAATACCACACCGTCCCCAAAATTGGAGCTTCCCATCATTAATTCATTTAACCAGTGGCATATGTGGTAAAAAATTTGCCCGAAATTGCGAACCTATTAAGTTAATTTTTCTCCCAGTGGTAGGAATGCATTATTTTGAATGTAGCCGTACCAACTAGAATGGTTTTAGGTGCCACAACTGAAACGAAATATTGTAAGGGCATCATGGTACTTGATTGTAACAACAAACAAGGCTCACACTGCATTTTTATATCAAAGTACAAGCATACACATAATATTACAGAATTAAACTAAATTCTTACAACTAGCAACACAGCTAGGTGGCCTTCTCTGCCTATTGTATTGAAAAAACTTAATGTTAATATTAGAACTACAATGGAATTAGTTATTAGTCAAGGAAGTGCAGATTACAATTACTATGAATACCACAATTATTAATAAAAATAATAATAAATACACATACGCACTCGAGGACATCTATCTAAAGTAACTTTGCATCTTATTAGAGATTAAGTGTTAACTTAGGAAGCATGGACACTTCTCCTAGGGGTGCCATGGCAGTATCGGACACTCAGACATGCACACATGTGCGAACCATACATAAGTCGAACACAGTTAGAATTGTCGTGAGATTTGAATATTTTATTTTCTAGTTGGACACAGGTTGCGACACGTTTGGGACACTTACAACCTTACAGGACACGGCAGGGAGTTGACTAATTATTTTTCTTAGGAGAATGGGTTTCAATGGAATTTAAAATATATTATGGGTTAAATAAAACAATAATATGCAATTTTAGAAAACTAACACAACAGACATCCAGCTATAAGGTCCGAATTAATAATTTCATTCATGATAAATGGATAAAATAAGAAAAAATTATTATTTATATATATAATATAATAATATACTATATCATTATTTTTTGACGTTTCCCTGCCATATTCATGTCCTTTTTCTTTTCTTTTTTTAAAATTTTTGTATCATCATGTCCGTATTGTGTCGTATTCATGTCCAGAGTCCGTATATGTGCTTCCTAGGTTATAACTAACCTGATATTCCACTATATCCCAGCACAAGGAAACAAAATTGTATAAGGTGTAAGAGAATTCAGTTCAGAGGCTAACCTCTGTGTGTATGTGTAACTTATCAAGACAAAGACTATGGTATCAGTATTTGAACTCTTGTCTGTCCCAAATAAATAAGTTTTTCTGACCACTTCCAACAGGAATCATCAAATCAATAGTGAATAAGTGCTGCTTGCAGAGGCTCGCATGAGGAACTATTACCCGGAGCGGGAGATTAATTTAACCAAAATTCAGAAGCACATATTTGACCTCTCAGGGAAGAAAAAAAAAAAGTGTACTAAAAACCGCCTATGATCAATCAGAAGTTCATTACTGTCATATATAAAAGAGCAAATATTTTAGCCTGTGTTAACGGACCAAAAACCATTACACGTGTTTGTGTGTGTGTTGGGTGGGGGGGGGGAGGGTGGTTGTTAAGCGCATCTCTATAAATGATATGAGAAGAAAAAATGGAGAGAATAATAGTCGAGAGCCAAATAAATGAAGTTGTCAAATGGTCAAGCATTCTTTTTCTTGTCTCTTTAATTCATAGCAAATAATGTGTGTGTAGGTATATGAATATGTATGTATAAAGATATACATATATATATATGAATAGAGTTCTAATATATATGTCGAGCTAGCAAGGATTACAATAATAATTACACGTTTTTTATAGATTTTAATTTTTGAAAGCAGGATCAAAAAGGTTCATTTAGACCACCTTTAACAACCATAGATAGGCAACCACAAAAAGGAAATTTTTAAAAAAATTTGGGGCTGGGGGGAAGGCAATGTTAATTTTCCTACACAAAATCATCATCAACATCCATAAATAAGTACCATTAATAGAAATTTGAGGGGGCCATGGCCCCCCTCCCTCCGCCCCTGTTTAGGACACCTTGAATAGTGTAGTGTCCTTCATATGAAGTCGGTGAGGGTGTTATCCAGAAGATCAAGAAGTAACTAGATGCAAGTAGAAGGGAAAAAAAACACAAAGCCACTACTCAAGCTACTTGTCAATTGGCTAGGGGCCCAGTGGGCATACCATCCACCTTCAGGTGAATTTCATCTGTGATAATCAGAAGGTAGATCTCATGGATTTCTTCATTACATGGTGTAACATAAATTGTTTCAGTTAAACTAACCTTGTTAAAGATAAGTTTTGATATAATAAATAACCACTTGCATAAAAGAGAGAGAATAGACATTTAGATTTTAGAATGTTAGTTATTCAGCCATAATTGATTACATTGGCCAACTAAAGGAGCATCGCTGAGAACAATGGTTTCCTTCTTCAACATTGAACACTACAGTTCACCATCTTTGGTGGCCTTCCAAGTGAAAAGCACAAACATCCACTTTCCTCATATACAGTAATATAAAAGATAATAAAATATCAGATTTCAACTATGCATCATAACACACTGATTCTGCATACAAAAGTGATGCAGTAACACCTCTAAAACAAATATATTTGCCAAAATGAACCCCCTGTCCCGCTCATTTCTCCAACCATCATTTTACACCCAAACCATAAAAAGATATAGAGAGCAGAAAGTAGAAAGAAATCAAATAGCTATTAGTAACTGATGAGTGCTGAATGAAGTGAAAGAACCAGAAAACAGCAAATCAAAACAAGTGGAGAAGAGAGAATACAAAAAAAGGCAACTTTTGGTCAGGTAAAATGAAATGAATCAAGTAATTACCTCTTGCTGAATAGCCCTCTCAACCCAACCGAGAATTCTAGCAAGTTGAGAATTGACCCATCGCAACACCAAAGTTCCAGATATAGTTTCAATCTGAAACAGGAAAGAGAAATTTTGACAAGATTTACCCCATCTCACTGAATTTCTTATTTTACAATGTGTGAAATTAGTATTAAATAAGAAATTCAGAAAACAAGTTTAATAAATTCAATTTGATAGCATGCTAGTAGTTTGATATGTCCTAATGACAAAATAACCTCAAGAATGCATGTTTTAATCTATCTGTTGTGAGAATAAAATAGTTAAGAAGAAGAAAATAACAGTGCAAGAAGACTTCATCCTAGATGTCATTCTGAAACGCATGTTAGAATTTGTTTGACATATGTAACCCCAAGAGATATGCACAAATAGGAGCTGCAACATTATTGAATGTGTCAACAGAACTAAAACCATTACATGTATCTCTCAAACAAAATAAACATGATCATTAACAGAGATAAATTTAGTCTCTCAGACAAGTAAATGTACTATGATTCACATAATACAAGTATATACTATATGAGTGTGGAATTGCATAATATTTTAGGATGTAATGCTGGGACCAAGAGTAGAATGAGCCTACATTTAAGGCTATTTTGAAAAATTAAAGTATATCATGTTAACATGAGAAAGAGAAAATAGGTTGAATGTTAAAGACACAACTCCTTCCCGTCATATTCTTATTTCTCCTTCATCTTTCTATTCTTTTCTTAAAAATCAAGCATCACAACTTAGTATTGGAGTTGTATTACATCAGAGATTGTAAAAAAGAAATGTGATAAGAGTAGACCATGCTGACATCAGTATGTTTGCACATGTACAAACAGGTGCACCCTAAGAAGCATGAACATGGACATGACACAACAAAGAGACTTTGACATGACAAATCTTAGAAAGGTAGGAAGTATTATTGTCTACTTAAAATTTGACAATCTCTCCTACTCTCATGCTCACTCCATCAGTGAAACCTTTCTATGACTTTTATTTCTTATATAGTATCATACTTTATATAAAATTATGTAAAACTCCAATTTGATTTTTCTTACAATTATTACTTCATTTTTAGACATTCAGGATTCATTGGCCACATATTAGCACATGTCAAAGAAGTGTCAACCACATAGCAAAATTGAGAATTTCATTTTTAACTTAACACACCGAGGATGTGTCGGAAACATGTCTGTCACAGTAGCTTATGGCTTACTTTCATTTGAGTGTTAAGTGGCTTACTTTCTTATTAGTTGTTCATTATGGTACCAAATAGAGTAGCTTAACGGTTATAGTCGCTCAGCGCATCAATTGAAAAGTATAAAAATGTAAGAAATACAGCAAACTTGAAGAAGGTATTAGATCTCATAAAAAGATTATTATTAGAGGCACCAACCTTTTTTTCTTTGATAAGTTTTGGAGGCACCAACCTTGATCACTCCATTCAATGGGTGCAAAAGGAGATAGAGAGTCTTTAGCATCAACCAATGTCTAAAAGTCTAACGTGGTTGGTTGGTCAATTCTAGTTGCCCGGTTAAAAATTAACTCATCCATCCAGAGTTTTGAAAAGCAAAACATAGAATGCTACTTAAAAATTCATCAAGAACGGGAAAAAAAAAAAAAAAGCAGTAATAAATGTTTAGCAGCATTCGATCATGTTATTTTTCCCCATTGCCTTCAGCCTAGTAGATTAAATGTTCTTTTTCTAGCATTCACCCATTCCTCTTCCACTATATAAACTAGACAGACTTTGCTATTTCTAAAAACTTGCAAATTAAAAATGCAGCAATTCTGAAGCCAACGCCCTCACCTTGTATAGATTTAGTTTCCTGCAGTAAGCCTCTGCAGTTCCCTCTTCACAAGCAGATGTGATAACTGTCACTATATACTGCTCAAGACTATCAGCTGCTGGAAATACAGATACCACATCCTCGGTGAGATGTTCAGCGCCTTCAAGGAAAGGTTTCTGAAGAAACGATGTTTAATTAAGCTACCACATTTCTAAATAAATAATACAAATATATCATGTACAAAATAAGCATAATTAAGTAGACATATACCAACAATTCAATATAGGCTTACCAACTTGTTCCCATAAAGTTTGTGCAGAAGAGATGCAGAAACACCAGCTGCTTGTGGATGCCTCTGAGATAAGATTGGCATAAACATGGTTGAATCTTTCTTCAAAAGCTTCTTTGTCTGTTCTGCAAGTAATGCTAAAGGATGTTCATCCGATGCATCAGACATTGTTTCAACGTCCTGCAAGATCTGTAAAAAGGAGAAATCAAGATCAAATTTTTTTTGAGCTCTGATAAACATAAGAAATTCAGCCCAAGCTTTACGCTCAAAGCTTGAACCTAGATAGATCAAACTACAGGTTTATGTTGCAAAATCCAAAGACCCCATTAGGCCATTACTTGGCCGGCTGAGCTCATTCCCCCCTACACAGGCATGCAGCCACAAAATGTCATCATGAATCCGAAATATCCATGATAAAATAACTAAAGTCAAAAATAAAATGAAATTAAAGTGACCATTTGCTATCAACATAAGGAAATCTCAGATATCCAACAAATTACAAGTACTTCAATATATTGTGACAGCCAATGATCTATCAGAGTCAGTTATAATCAATAACCCACTTACCCTTGCAAATGCATTCTTAATCGATGATGATACATATGACTCTATCTGATCTCTGTCAGTGAGATAAATAGATTCCATTGCCTGCAAGAAACACTACCACTGTAACTTCTTACATTTCATAGGTTAAAGTATGCAACAGCATGTTAGAAACAATGATTTAAAAAACACAATGAAGAATTTTATATATATTTTGCTTCTGTAGAATACAAGAGGACAGGTAACCAATACGCCAGTGACCTAGCAGTATCAGCCTCTTACTTCCCAAACGAAGGTCAAAGTCTCAGAAGAGACGTGTGTGTGAGTACCAACTAGGAAAAAAAAAAAAAAAAAAAACTAGTACAATTTAGGAACTTCCAGCAAAATTGACATTGTATGCCTTGACAAGGTTTACTTCCAAATGCATCCACAAAGAAATGTCCATACAAACCATTTCGGGTTCTTCAATAAGAAGCCTTCGAGCAACCATTGCAACTGCAACTATGTTCTCCATCATTGATGACCCCTACAAGTTATACAATAAGTATTATGATCGATTGCGCGATCAGAAAAAAAGTGCACAAAAAGACAAAGCAATTACTCAGACAGAATAAATATTTTTTTATGATGGTGTTTTTGTGATAATTAATATCTATAGCCTTTGCTTGTAGATTCCCACAAACCTAAAACAAATCCATTGTCTATGTAAAAGCATAAAAATTAGAAGACGGTTCATTGATCAAGTATAAAGCAATATTCTATCTTGTCATTCTATAAGGGGAGGTACATTACAATATACAAAAGGTAGGATTGTTCATAGATTCCCACAAACCCCAAAGAAATAATAATAATAATTTTATATGTAGACGCATAAAAATTAGAACATGGTTCATTGATCAAGCATAAAGCAATATTCTATCTTGCCATTCTATGAAGGAAGGTACGTTACAATACACAAAAGATAGGATGACTTTTGCAACCTAACCAGGAAAAGGAAAATCCATCTGCTTTCTGACAGATCTGGCATGAACTGCGTGAACCAAGTGTGTCTGCATAAGATAGATATTTAAAAACTATTTACAAAAGTTTCTACAGTAGAACAACTAATTTTTGGCAGATTGTCATTACTCAAGGGACTTGGTATCTTTTAGACTTCTATATCCATCCCAGCATAAAAAAGGACTTAAATCCCAAGACTTCTATACCCATCTCTTCGGAATGAATGTGTGAAACAATCTCATGGTAGAGAGAGGTTTGGTCCAAATGTCTCTCTCAGTGAGAATATTGGTATTGAAGACACTGCTACGCCTGGGTTTATTCAGCTTGATTCTACAAAAGTTGGTGTACCTAAAGATGCAGGGATTAAAAGTTATGGGAGCAGAAAGACAAAAAGAGGTTCAGGGTGAGAGTGCTGTTTTGTTGTTGGGACCCCAATCAGACAGGTGTTCTGTGGATCAGGTAGGGAAGCAGCAAAAGAAGAAACACGGTTTGCCCCAATCAGATAGGGTGCTTAGAGGTAAGGGTAATGATGGTGCCGTTCCACCAAAAGCTAGTCTTTGATGTTGGGAGCATGGAATGTTAGAAGCCTGAATAGGCCTTGCATGCAAAGAGACGTCAAGAGCTGGATTAGTGAAAATAAGTTTGTTCTAATTGAAGCCAGAGTCAAATAAAGGAAAGCTCTTCAGATTCAAAGGAAATTTTGTAGTGATTGGCTTTGGTTATCTAATTATAGTTGTAATTCACTGTGTAAAATATGGATTGGGTGGAATAATTCTGTATAGGATGTTTCATTAGTTCATGAAAGTGCTCAAGCTATCCTGGTAAAGGTGAGATTTATAGCAGCTGGAATGACTGTTTATCTCTGCTATATATGCTGCAAATACCGTGAGTGAGAGGGAGCTATGGAAAACTTTGAAAGATCATTCTACCTTGGTGGATGGTCTGTGGTTAGCTATTGGAGTCTGAAATATTGTTAGATATCAAGGGGAGAAGAAAGAAGGTTTGCAGGTCCCTCAAAGGACGTTAGATGAGTTTAATGAAGTCATTCAAGCTGCCAAATTGGAGGACTTACCTACTTATAATGGGGACTAGTCTTGGACTAACAAGCAAGGGTTAGAGAGAAGAGTAATTGCTAAATTAGATAGAGCTTTGGTTAATCGGTATTGGTTAGATAAATTCACCGACTCTAAACTGTATCTCACTGCTGTTTCCTTGTCTAACCATTATGGTTTGGCAATTAAATGGCACTCTTCCTGCTCTGAAGGGCCTAAACCATTTAAGTTTTTGAAAGTTTGGTGTATGCAGCCAGAAGTTGATGACCTTGTTCATCAAGCTTGGGCTGTTAAAACATCTGGTTCTCCTATACATCAGTTGATGCAGAAGCTGAGAGAGGTTAAAGTTGTTGTAAAGAAATGGAATAAAGAGAAAGGCATGATCTCAGAGCAGTTACAAAGTGCTAGGGAGGAAATGCTGCGTGCTCAGGTTGACCTTTTGAAAAATCCTAGTGATGATCTTGTTATTCAAAAAGAGAGGATGGCTGTGACTAAAATCCAGAACTTAGTTGGACATGGAGGAGATTGTCTGGGCTCAGAAATCTAGAGTTAGATGGTTCAGTGATGGGGACAAGTGCACTTCCTTTTTCATCATAAGGTAAAACAGAGAAGATCTTTCAATGCTATTACTCAATTGAAGAATACTGATGGTGAGATGTCAGAGGACCCTGAGGTGATGAAAGCCAGGTTAATTGAGTTCTATCAGAGTTTATAAATTGCAAAGGACACTAGTGCCTTTGAGTTTCATCCTAGGAGAGTATTATCTACAAAGGAAGAAATTAATTTGGAATGTGCAAATTACTAAAGAAGAAATTCATCAAGTTGTAATGCATTTCCATCCAGACAGAGCCCTAGGACCAGATGGATATCCAGCTAGAGTTTTCAAAAATACTGGAATTAAGTTGGGAAGGGTGTGACTCAGGCTGTGCTGCACTTCTTTACTACTGTTAAGATGCCTAGAGGAGTTAATGCTACATTTCTCACACTGATCCCCAAAGGTAACCATGGTGATTTGATTTCAAATTACAGGCCCATTTCTTTGTGTAATTTCTTATATAAAATTATCACTAAGATTTTGGCCAATAGACTCAGCCAGGTGCTTCCATCACTAGTGGGACTAGAGCAATCTGGTTTTGTAAAGAACACAAGAATTCATGATACGTTTTAATGTCTGACCTCATTCAAGGTTTTGGCAAGAAGAGAGGTGATCCAGCTATGGCATTAAAAATTGACTTGAAGAAAGCTTATGGATCAGTTGATTGGGGTTTTCTTAGGGCTATGCGGCTGTCTTATGGCTTTGGGACTACTTGGACTGCTTGGGTTATGGAATGTGTGACTACTGCCTCTTTCTCTATTCTGTTTAATGGTGTCCCAGCAGGGTATTTTCACTCTTCTAGGGGTATTGTATAGGGCTGTCCCCTATCTCCCTTGCTGTTCTCTTTGCTTACTGAGGTTTTCTCTAGTCTTGTTAGTGAAAAAATTATTTCTGGTCAGTTGCAGTGCACTAACAGAGTAGTGAAAACTGGGCTTCAGTTTTCTCATGCTTTCTATGCTGATGATTTGATGGTAGTAGTCAACGCTTGCACTTCCTCTACTAAAGCTTTAGCTGAGCTTTTCTCATCTTTTGAACCTACTACAGGTCTGATGGTCAATAATGACAAAAGCTCCATCATTTTTCCTAACACTGTTAGAAGGAGGAGAATTTCTCAGATCCTGCCTTTCCAGAGGACAGAGTTCCCTGTCTCTTATCTAGGAATTCCTATGTCAGACAAAAAATTGAAGACTGCTGATTTCAAAGTTCTGCTTGATAAGATTTATTCTAAACTCTATCATTGGAATTCACTGAATCTATCTATTGCAAGGAGGATTGAACTTCTCAAGATCAGTTTTGTATTCTTTTCTTTACTATTGGCTGTTTGGTTTCAAAATCCCTTGGCATGTGCACATCCAGCTGGAGAAGAAATTTAAAAACTTCTTGTGGAGTGGGAAAACAGAAGTAAAGAAGATGGCACAACTTAGCTGGAAAAAAGTTACTCTTCCTTTCAATGAAGGTGGCTTCAATTTGAGAAAAAATTCTGATTTGGATTTTGCTTCTAAAGTAACTCTGTGTTGGGACTTCATTTTGCAAAAAGACAAGCTATGGATTAATTGGTTCAGAGAAAATTACCTGAAGAAGTCTAATTTCTGGATTGTCACTCGAAAACAGAATGATTCTGCAGTGTGGAAACAGATTCTAGAGTCTTCTGGAGGGTGACCCCTTTTTGCATTTGGTGGAGCCTTTGGAAAGAGCGGAATTGTAGATCTTTTGATGGGAAGGAGTCCTCTATTGGGATGCTGAAATTTTCTATTATTTGTACCCTTTTTTGTTGGGGTCAGGGGAGAGATTACTCCTCTCTTGAGGAGATTGTTGACTTCATGGGCTCTTTGAGTTCATAGATTTCGTTTTGTTTTTGTATAGTTTGGGACGCGTTCCCCTTTTGAACGCTCTTTAATGCATTTTACTTATCAAAAAAAAAAATGATTGAGCACTGCACTTACGGGTTTGGTAAGGGGGATAAATTTTCTTTGTTCTATGATCCCTAGTGTGAAGGGTTGTCTTTGATTCAAAGGTTTGGTGCTACTGTTTTTAGAAGATGTGATAAATCTTCAAGACTTGTAGTATATTGTAGATGCTCATTGGTATTTCCCAGATGTGTTTCCACAACATGTGAAAGGATTTTCTCTCTACTCTTCCTATTACTTTGGACACAGACAATATTGGTTGGAAGCATGGTACCTTTTCACTGAAATCTGCTTGGAATGCCTATAGGGTGAAGGAGCAGGTGCTAGCTTGGACAAGTCTTTGTAAGAAGTACTGTAGGCCGAGGGTATCAGTAGCTGTTTCTTTAATTATGCAGCATAGAAACCTCTCTTTTACTCATCTTCAGAAAAGGGGATACAGCTCCCTTCCATTTGTCATAACTGCTATGCAGCAGCAGATGACAATAATCATCTATTCTGCACTTGTTCCTTTGCTACATCTGTTTGGAGAGCTGTGTTTGATAAATTGAATATCAGTGCTGGTCCTTTCTCTTCCCTTGACAGTTTGGTGGCTTGGTTCTCTCAATCTATTGTCATAGTTTCTTTCAGAACTAACATCATTGCCTCTGTTTTTGCCAACGATATGGAAAATATGAACACATAGAAATGCTGTTTTACACCAGGGCTGTCACTCTTCTGCTGATGCTCTTGCTGTGGAGGTGATTTGGGAGGTGAAGCAGGTCACCAAGTGTTCCCTTGAGGATTTGAAGGCTGTCTTTTGACTTGTATCATGGTGCTAGTTATACATTTTTATTTGTGTTTTGGTGCGTACTGAAAATGGGCCTTTTCTATTTCAATATGTTAAGGTTGTAAAAGGGGGTATGCCCCCAATCTCTCTTGTATCATTGTATTTTGTTTCGTTTAATGAAATAACCCATTCAGGAAAGAAGAAAAAAAAAAAAAAAAAAAAAAAACCCCCACAAAGGAACAGAACAAAGAATTAAGAGAATGTAGCAATATAATGCTTACAGTACAATTTTACATTGTTATTATTGCCTATAGTCTTGTGTATGTAATGTATATATGCAGCGCTTTCACCCTCATTAATAAATGTCACACTTAAATCAATTATTCTCACATACAACGTGACATCACCTATTCTTAATATAACATGGTAACAAGACCCTCTTGGTCTATCTTCATTGTGCTAATTCTTTTGTGGTGGATGCTTGTAAAATCCGTTTTTCATCGAAACAGTAAATTGTATAGCATTATCACAACAGTCCCAATTTCAGCAATTTTGTTTGAGTTTTTATGAATCTTGCCAGACAAAAGCTGAAGTACAACAGAGCTTTATCAAACCTTGAGGCTGTTACTCAATTCCTCGCAAGGAGTTAATCCATGGAGTATGTTCGTCCAAATCTATAATGAACAAAGTCCAGGATCGAAGAACTTACTGCCAGGTAGCTCCTCTTTTTTCATAATTTAAACCAAGTCCTACCATATGTAACCAATTAGTTTAAGTGAAAAGGATTATCCACAGCTCCCTATCCTTTTTTTTTCCTAGTTGGTACTCACACACATTTGTCTCTTCTGAGACTTGAACCCCTGACCTCCCTTTGGGAAGTAAGAGGTTGATACCGCTAGGCCACAGCTCCCGATCTTCGTCTAAAATATCATAAGCATTGGATTAGTAATTTGGGACATCTGACAAAATCCTAGATATTGAGTATTATATATATATTTCAAGAATTTTTGTGTTACTGTTCTAGAATCTCTCCCTTGATTATATTTCTAATGAACTTTGATCTATTTGGTTCTGGTTTTTCACTGTTTTTTTGTTAGATTGTTTCAAAAGATTCACAAGTTTTGATATCACAGTTTCCATGGCTGGGTTGGTTGTTTATGTGGTCTGTGCTGGGTAGTATGATTTTGGACAGCACTAGAAAATTTATAATTGTTACCTACAATAGGATTAAAAGAGTTGGATCAAGGAAAACTTATGCATAAGGCTTCAAAAAGAAGAAAAAAGGCTGCAAGTGGGAGGTGGAAATCTTGGTTGTAGAAGTGTCAGGTTTCGTTAGAAATTCAGAAATCTTAAATTATCATAACAACTCAATCCAATTGAATAGGAAGGTTAGAAAGATATTTACAGGTGTTGAATACTCCCACAGATGATATAATGCCAAAACAAGGAAACTTTAACGCTTTGAACACTAAGACTATTCTAGATCTAGAAAACTACATCTAGAGACCCAATAACATACCCCAAATAAGACCATAATGGCATAACCTATGGACTACTTAACCCCGTGTCCAGAAAATATAGAAATTAATGAAATACACAAGATTCTTGAATAAGAATGCATAAATAAAAACATAAAAGCATCATAATAACCAAAAACTAACAAAAAATGAGACTCAAATTAAAACTAACATACTTTGACAGGGTCCAAATTGAAATTCATACTAAGTTCCGAATTTCTTTTCCCTTTTTTTCTTTTTTTTTGGGGGGGTTAGCATACTCTGCATCTTTTTCCTACATATTAGAAAACACGAATCCCTTGAGATTATAGTGCTAAAGTATGAATATCCCACAAACTTCGAACTTGCATATTTTGAGGGTGACTCAATTTAATTTTATCTTTTAGAAAGGACAAGGGCAATTTAAAGAAGTTCACCTAAACTGTTGTCCCTTTTATTCTATCCTGAAAGACAAAATATGATTGTGATAGTTTGCCAAGCAAGCACATCCTTAAATTGATATGCAATAAGAAGGTCAACTATAGCTCCATCTGTTGCTTGACTTTGGCAAGTTCAGCACCATGATCACCACACGTTCCTTTGTGATTTAATTAAAGTATCTCAGGAATCGCACTCTCCAATTTCTTGATATGAAGTTGCTGATTGGTATTAGATGCTTCAACAGATGAAGAAATAGCAAACAAGAAATCGATGTTACAGGAAGTGAGCTTCAATTGCAGTGGCTGAAGCTTCATTCTTTTGTTGTTCACATTCTATCCTTTAACATGGATGAAGGAAAGATCGATATAAGCGTTTAAGGATTAAAATATAGCAACTAGGATCACTGTTTTAGAATCAACTACAACCAACTTATTATTTAGCTTTCCTTCAATGACAACCACACTTTGTCCAAACAACTTGATTTCAACTTCAAACTCCCAATGTAGCTCAGCTCCAAAGTTAACAAAAAAATAACATAACCAAGTGTATACTTCATTAATTTACCAACCTCAGCAAAGTGCAGGTGATAGTCTCCCAGCTGCTTATCAGCCCAATTTTGAATAGGTGATAAGAAAGACTGCAAGAAAGCTAACTCTCGATATCCTTCTTCACTTTCAACCCTAGAATGCAAGCTTTTCAAGTGTAATCTCTCTTGAGGGCCCCGCTGTTCCTTCAATGGTATTTTATTTAACTGCTCGATGGCATGACGCAATATTCCTTGCTCGTTTGTGATGACAAACTGTAATAAAACAATCAAAAAGAACATTGAATGATGCCAACAAAGAGTGATGATAATTGCATAATCGAAGAAGAACCCAGAAAGGGAACTTCGTCGGGTCAATATCAATGTCCATACAATCAGAATCAAAATAGAATGGAAGGCAATTAAAAGACCAAATATATATATATACACACATAGGAAACTGAACTTTTGAGAATGTTATTATTATTTCAGCATCAATCAAACACCATCTATAAGACATAGTTGCATCCTATACATATATCCTCATACTTGTCCCATAGTTGTGGGGTGAGCGATTGGTTGGTTCCTTTTCTTTCAAAGGGTCGGGGTGGGGGTGGGGTTGACGAAATGGTTATATTGCAAGTTGGACATCAGAAGAACTACTTATACTGCTGACAAATTGATTTCAGCCTACACATGCCAAAATACCTGCTGATACTCACTTAGCTGTGAAGATGAAGGTGAAAATGCCGAAGAACCAGACGGTTGGTAGAAAAGCCACATCCAGCAAGGACCCTTGGGATGAGATTTTTTATTAGCAGTTAACTGATTCTATAGGCTATATGCTATCCAACCATATTAAAAAGAAACGCAACAAATGAATAAAAACGCACATCTATAATCTATTGGACCTTTATAATTATAATATCTTTAGTAATGTATAATAATATTAATGCTTTGACATGAGTTTCCATTATTCCTAGTATTTTTCATCTTTTTTTTTTCCTGAATATTTTTCATCTTTTGTAACATATATATGCATCATTATTTCTATCCATGGCATCTAAAGTAGCACTTAATCTATCAAAGACATTGAGCTGTATAGCCCATGGACACTATGACAAGGATCAAGACTCTCATTTATAACCATAGAATAAGTTGACCACCCTCTAGACATGATGTCCAATAAGTACCTGTTTAGGGTTTCTAGTTCCTATTACCGTGCAGCTACAGTATACTTGGCATGACCTTTGTCCATAGAAATATTTGGCATAGAAACCAATCTATATTTCTTTAACAATTTGATTGAATGTTGGTCAAAAGGGAACACAAAATCAACAGATATATGAAGGGATTGCTCTAGAGGAAGTTTTTAAACTGGATTCCTAAAGTGACCAATTGCAAAACTCACACTTCAAAAAGAAAAACAGAAGGTAAATAAATAAATAAACAAATAAAAGCTATACAGCCATTGTATTTTCAATTTTGCATATAAATTTTTTATCAGGAAGAAAAGGAAAGAATAAGCGAGCAACATAACCAATAGTCATTGAAGATGAAGCAGTTGTGCAACAGTTGTCAAGCAAATCTACATATTAGGTCCAAACTATAAACTTTTTTTTTTTTTTTTTAATTTATCAACATAATTAAGAGAGGAAGACCAAAGTTAACGTGGGTAGAGTTAGTCAAGAAGGATATGATAGCATGTGGTTTGAATGAGGCTATGGCCTGAGACAAAGCGGAATGGAAACATAGGATTCATGTAGCCGACCCCAAGTAGTTGGGGCAAAGGCTTCTTGTTGGTCGTGCACTGGTTATAATGCAAATGTACATAAGGTAGCTCTATGTTACAACAATAACCAATTAAAATAATTATCTAAGAAATTTGTATCTTGAAATCCATTGAACTATTACGTACATGGAGATTCAGTTCAAACTGACCCCAGCCAGATAATAGGACTGTGCATAAGATAGGTCATGTTCAATCAAGGTCACCATTCTGAGTGGCTTGTGAAAAGCGAAAATGTGCTTCAAGGCACAGGGTTAAGAATTCTTCATGAGAAAGCCCACGATTGTCAAGAGGAGATGGACTTTGACAGGAAAGAAGGTCCCAGTCTGGGTTGGTCTATGAGCTGCTGAAAGGGAAATATTTCCCAAATTCCTCCTAACATCCAAAAACCCCTACCTTCTCATATGGAAAACAATTTAAAAGACATTTTCAAAGTGGAAGCATTAAGTAGGCCAGTACCCCAAAAAAATTAATTTCAAGAGTTTAACCATTAGATTGGCTGTTCTCCTATTAACCCATCTTAAAAATTCCAATTATCTGTGTTGAAATTTGTTTCTTGATTGAAAGTACATAAGTATAACCCGTTGCTAGTTTCATTGACTCTGTTATTGTGTTCTTTTTACAATATTGTTACTCACAAACAAGTAAACTGCTTACTTACCTGGAAAGAAAAAATAACATAAAAGTAAATTACTAAATTGCTTATGTGAAAAACTCCATGTTCCATGGTTAGATACAATGCACCGGTAGCCTCAGTTTGGCAGGATGGGAAAGAAGGTTGAGGAAGCAAGGAAGAAAAGGTTATTTGCTTTTGGCTCACCCTTGTATCAAGCCTTGGCCAATATCTACCTTACCCTAAAAGATAAAGGAAGAATATCAAAAATATAAATATTTAACAGTTTTTATCGAGCCTCAGATTTGGAGATTCGACAAATCTAATACTCAGACACATATACATAACTGGCAGTCTAGTGCACATACCCGAGTCTGTATAACATGGGCTCGCACATAAGTCACAGCTCTTCAAAAACTTGCAAATGCTTGTAAGGTCACATAGGTACCTTAGGCCTTGTTCGAATTAGGATTGCAAATAAACAAGGCAATACTTTTGAAAGTTCAAACAAAAAAATGGTCAAGTCTATAAGATCACAAACTGAAACAAGTAAAACATCCAGTAATAAGTAACGCAACAGTGTTAACCCATATTCTTGAGCACCAATCCAGGAATTACTTCATTAGTGAGGCATTTTCTATAAGATTAACTTTGCATTTAAAAAAGTCTAAAAAGCAAACCTTGACCACAATACCTGACGAAATAACACCCAAGCAAAGCATGTGTAATGGATAGTTTCTGTGACTCCCAAAATACGCCATGTTGACTTCAAAAGCTCAAGCATTTCTTCCACTTCCTGGACAGAAAGATGCTCCATAGTTGGTCACATTCATTTCACAGAGCAATATGTGCAGGACTTGGTTTCTGTTTATTTTCGATTTTCACAAGAAATTTAACCAAATCACAGCGTTTTTCTTTTTTCTTTTTTTCCCACTTCAATGCTCGAGTTTGAAAATGAATTAATATACAATTTATTATAGCATAAGATTTCAAACCGATGTATTTCTGTAACTTTATAAAGCTAAAACTACCACTCTTCCACCAAAAAAAAGAAACAGAATCTCAAACTTTTTAAGTATTCGAGCGTTCTTGAAGTCATCATGAAATAAAATGAAAGTCACTGACCTCTGTAAGTTTGCCCTCATCTAAAACATCAAATACACTGAGAAGCAGTTTCTCATATATTCTGACGTTTAGGTGATAACCATCCGCCCAATGGCATACTTCACCAGTTAGGTCACCTCGAGCTGGCCTCTCCGCAAGTGGAATGGCAATATCTCTGAGAGATCTCAAGCATTCAGTCCGTTGGAGTTCAGCCGTAGAAGATGGAAGAGACTGACATTAAATAAATAAACATTAGAGGAGTCCAGGATGAGAAAGATGATAGACACCTGGAGTTCAACCCTAGAAAATGGAAGAGACTGACATAAAATAAATAAACATTAGTGTGGTCCAGGATTATAAAAAGCTGATGGACTAAAAAAAATCCGGAAAGCATGCCAGAATAAAAGCAAACGGAAACTCAAATCAGAATTGACCAAAGTCACCAGATTATGAAGCAATTAAACCACATAAATTACAAAAAATGAATCTTGAAAAAAGAGCTGCTATAAATTTCTATGTAATAATCAAGAAAGAAGCTCCAGATTTATGAGAAAATGGCACATCCTGAAAAGCTCCATGCCGCCAAGCAAGAGGACAGGTTGAAGTTAGATTTACAACTTTTAATTGGAAGCATTCAAAATCAGTTTACTAAATTTGGTTGTTGGGATGCACAAAGCAAAAGAACAACAGAAGAAGTTGGAAGGGAAGACGAACAAAAGAGAAAATCCCATATGCATTTCTGACATCAAAAAGGGATTTAATTTTACCCTTATCCATGCAAAAACAAATTAGCCATGAGAGAACGACCTTCAAAAGGAAAAACATTTAAAAATAAATAAGGGCTATTATTTAAAGGAATCGCTCGCGTACACCCACAGGGCCACACCAATACAGAAATCTTGACTCTAAAACTGATATGAAAAAAGTATCAGACAAACGTGTGAAGGGACATCCAAGATCAATCAAAAGCAAGAGCAAACCCAATGGCAATAATTGTAAATAGCTAAAACCTATGAAGATGAACATACCTCAGATTCTTCAATCTTCGCCAAAAGAATCCTCAGTTCATTTGCCTTCCGTCCAGACTCCCCAAATCCCACAGCAGGGTGATTGATAAGCCCCTCCTCCAACATGTTTAACTGAACTGACAAGAATTTGAAACATCTGAGAGTATTTTTTATACCACCAGCTCCACCACCACTTACAGCCACACCAGACACAGATCATACTTGCTCCCCAAGAGAAGAACAAAAAAATAAAAATAAAAAAGTTGAAAAAAGAGAGGAAAGAATATGGTGTGAGAGAGAGAGAGAGAGAGAGAGTTCAGCTCACTTGTCTTTTCTGCCACCGTATATAAGTTTTCATGTCAGAAAATTCTGTTCGAGAGATGCAGCATAACAGTTCCAGAGGAATCAGAAGAGTATCCATTCTCTTTCCCGCCTTTCCCACAAGGGCATTAAGCAGCCCTTGTCTTGTTCTGATGTCCATTGCCTCAGAAATCTGAATTTATTCATAAAAATGGACAAGAAGTTCTAACATTACCAGCAACCCAAATGTATAAACTGCAAGCAACTCTACAACCATTGAAAATCTATGAACTATATACAAGAAGCAGCATAGTGTGATTTGCATGCAAGTGTTTATTGAAGAAAACAACAAAAGATGTCAAACATTAAGAGAGGAATAAATCCACTGGTATATTCATGGAGTTCTATGGTAACCTAAAACTAAATGTTGCTTTACAAAAATAAAAAGTTATGTATGTAATACAAAAAAAGAGATGGAAAAAAGAATGAGATAGAAATAAATGCATTTACAGCATCCAATTAGAAGGATTGATTGCAAAATCAACCGTTTATGCTAGTTAGACTGACGGTAATCCAAATAAAGAGAAAAATGTCATCCATAATTGACATCGAATGATGGTCTTGAACATAAAACGGGAGAGAGAGAGAGAGAGAGAGAGCATGTTTATTAGTCTTAGATCAATACACAAGACTACAAAAAGAGTTGCAGGCTAACCCAATACTAATTATGAACAAGTGTCAAACTATGTGACTTCAACACATTCAAGGATGGTAAGATAAATATTACTTGCATCTTATCCATTAGTGGATAGGGTGTAGCAATCTTTTTTCTTGGGAGTCGAACCTTAGACCTGATACTTCCCGAAGCATCAAGGCCAAGTTCTTACCCACTTGAGCCAATACAGTTTACAGAAAAGACAGAGCATATTACAATGATCAAAGTGCTTCTGTCAGTTATATTGGTTTATCACTTTTTGGCATTCTCTGCATCCTTTTACTGGTGCAAAATGTCAAAATAATATAGACATATTGCGAAAATTCACAACCAACAATACCATGAGCAAAAATAAAAGTTAAAATATATGATGAAGCACAGTATATGTGGTAGGGAAAAAGGTAAGTCCCAAAAAGAAAACAGAAAAAGATCTGTAAGAACTTAATTTACCTCCATCTGGACACGCATTGTCTCCAAAAGGCCAACTAAACCAGGAGTGTGCTGAGACTGGGTCACGACATGTTCGCTTTTACTACGCCCAAGTTTTCTAATCAATCTGGACTTTTTGTCTTTCTTTTTTTCCTTTGATGGTACAATGAGGCCCCTGTTTACAGAATGAAAGCAATAAATAATATACAAGATTACTAGCAGGGAACAGAATAAGAAACAAAAGAAAATTGAGGATGCAAAAAGCAATACAACAACATCAAGATATTATTAAACTAACATGGAAGTATATCTGCTAGACAAGCTAGGCACGATGAAGCATACCCTGAAACGCCAGCAGCAGCCAAGAGGATTTCATATGCAGTTTCACGGAGATCATCATCTGTAATACCTGAAAAGGTAAACATCTAAATTTAGAAATACAAAAACATATGCCCCTTGTATGACCTCGTGACATTGCTAAGAGAAGTCGTTTTTATGAAGAATCATTGCGGTTAATGTGGAGATCCAAAACTGTTGCTTTGAAGAAGGCGAAGAAGCCCTAGTAAGTCCATAAAGATTATGAAAATCTGGAGAATTTTCCACATACTTTTGTCATGATTAGATTCTGTTCAACAGACCAAGCACTTGAAGCACATCTTTAATTGTTTCCACTTCTTGGAGTAAATATAACTACGTATCGACAAACCTGAAGTCAAACCCATACATATAATCATATGTGTCATACTATGCATTGTCCAATGACCAGAACACCTTTACAATTTAATTTACTCAATAAAACTGAGACTATTAATCTGTCCATAAACTAATTTTAGTTCATGACATTGTTATCCATGATAATGCCATCCAACATAAGGGGTCTTTGCATATCTTATTTAGTTACTCCAACCTTCCAACTTTTCAAGAAGACATACATTTAATGCAATCTCAACTTTGGAAATCTCCAGGTTACCCTTTGAAGTTTAAATATATATATCATCAAGTTGGAAAAAAATTCAAACCTTAAAGGATATTTATGGAAAGAGGCAATTATCTTGCGTTGGATTTTGAAATGGGACAATATTCCGGGACAACCAAAAATGGAAAGAGGGACTAACAAATTGGGATGGAGGGAGTATAAAAGGATTACCCAATTTTGGTCCCACCTTGGTAGGGTCCTGGGGAGGGAGACTTGAGACAGACCTTAGCCTTGGTATTTCACAGAGAGGTTGTTGGAAGACTCAAACTTCCGCCAGTGGCATCAATACTCAAGCACGTAACCACTGAACCAGACGACGACCCTCCAGATATCTAAGCATTTATTATATTTTTGTGTCTCAAATATTATGTTCAGTGTTTCCAAGCAATTCCATGAAAATTCTGAAATAATGTCTGCATTTCCGAGCCGGCCAAAACAGCAACAAAGTAGTACTTAGTAACTTGGATACATGGAATAGTAAAAGAAATTTTCAATTGGTCATCCGCTCATCAAGAGTATAAAAGGACTAACCCAGTGCACAAGACTCCAACCATTGCGGGGTCCAAGGAGGGACCGATGTACACAACCTCACCTCCATACGTGGAGAGGTTGTTTCCTCGATTCGAACCCATGGCCTCTAGATCACATTGGAGCAACCTCAGCACTGATGTAAGACAGAATTCTTAACAGTTCTATAAGTCCGTTTTTTACCAGAATGGAGTGTCTTTTGGGTGGAAACGATGCATTGAGAAAAACCCACTAGCTTTAGCTTGTAGGCCATGTTAGTTTTTAGCTGAAAACCTTCGTTTAGGACTCTGAAATCGCATTTTATTGTGTTATAGGAGGTCTGTTGATTATTTCGGGATTTTTGTTTGAGGCCTTAATGAAGTAGGAATGCTATGAGATTTTATATTTAGTAGTTTTTATTGATTAGGTTTCGTTTTCTATTTTTTTTTTTTTCATAATTTTTAGAGAGAATTTATTTTTAGGCATATTTCTAGGATTAGTTTCCTTGTGTTTTTAGTTTCCTTCTAGTGTTAGGTTTTCTCTATTATAAATATACATGTCTTGCAAGAGCAGAATTTAACTTTTGATTAACAATATTTCAGATTGCTTTGCAATTCTTATTCAACTTTGTGGATTCAAAGTTACCCTACTTTGTGGATTCAAAGAAACTATGTTCCTTGTGAACAATTTTATCGTTTTCCGTTACGTCAGTTGGTATCAGAGCCTTAGTTTACCTTGGGCTGACGACGATTGCTCGTTTTGGTAGCACCTACTTTGCCGACGTTGATGTGAAGGCCCCTTGGGCAGCCATACATACTCAAAAACGGTTCATAACAACTGGTTTTGGGACCGGCGGCAACCAGATTCGTGGTTCAGTTCAAGTTCGAGCCGTTGATGTGTCTCACAGCCAACCGAACATGGGTTATGTTCCTGTATATCCACATAGGCTTCCAACCTATGCGGATTATTCCAATGATTCTTCCGATGATAAGGAGTTCGGATTCAGTGATCGAGGTAGACGCAACAATCGTGAATTTCAGGTAAAACTTGATCTACTTACTTTCAATGGAAGTATTATTATTGAAGATATCTTGGACTGGCTTGAAGAAATTGAAGAATTTTTTGAGTATTTTGATGTACCTGAAAACAAACAAGTTCCGCTTGTTGCCTTCAAGCTTAAAGGGTGTGCTTCAGCTTGGTGGGAACAGATACAGTTTCATCGAAGGAGGCAAGGATCACAACCTGTTCGGTCGTGGTACAAGATGAAACGGATGTTCATGGCTAAATTTCTACCACCAAATTATGAGGAGATAATGTAACAAAAATATCGGAATTGTTGGAAAGAGAGTCCATCTGTCAAAAAGTCTACAAAGGAGATTCACAAAGAAGATAGTGGCACCAAGGATAATACTAATTTTGTTGAGGCAACGACTGACATTATTGAGGTTGATCGAGAGAAAAATTATATTGATTCACCTATTGTAGTTAAAGAAGATGAAGTAAAGGATGTGAAAACATTAATTCCTTTGCACGAGTTGGTAGATGCAGAAAAGGACTTTAGCATGTTAAAAGAAGAATATGGTGACAAGATGTTCGATACTAAAATTGAGCAATAAGAATTAATAGATGATCAGCGGGTTAATGATTTTTCCAAATCAGATGTCCAAGATGGTATGGAAGAATTCAGACTTCAAATTGGTGAAGTATCAATATTTGAGCAAACTGTAAGTGAAGAAGTTTTAATTCCAAAAGATGCCAATGAAGATATTTTGGTGTCGTGTTTCGGAAGTTCTCGCGCCAACGATCTGTATGTTGTTGTCGTAGGCAAGACTTCATGTTATTCACAGCCAAACTCGAGTACTGAGTTTTTTTTGAAGTGGAGGGGACTGATGTTGGATAGAATTCCGAACAGTTCTACAAGTCCGTTTTTTACCAGAATGGGGTGTTTTTTGGGTGGAAACGATGCATTGAGAAAAACCCACTACCTTTAGCTTATGGGCCATGTTAGTTTTCGGCTGAAAACCTTCGTTTAGGACTCTGAAATCGCATTTTATTGTGTTATAGGAAACCTGTTGATTATTTCAGGATTTTTGTTCGAGGCCTTAACGAAGTCGGAAAGCTCTGATATTTTATATTTAGTGGTTTTTATTGATTAGGTTTCGTTTTCTATTTTTTTTCATAATTTTTAGAGAAAAATTATTTTTAGGCTCATTTCTAGTATTAGTTTCCTTATGTTTTTAGTTTTCTTCTACCATTAGGTTTTCTCTATTATAAATATATATGTACTGCAAGAGCAAAATTTAACTTTTGATTAATAATATTTAAGATTGCTTTGCAATTCTTATTCAACTTTGTGGATTCAAAGTTACCCTACTTTGTGGATTCAAAGTAACCCTGTTCCTTGTGAACAATTTTATCGCTTTCCGCAACGTCAAGCGTTAAGCCAAGGCCAATCCTCATCCACTCATAAACATTATAATATTCATATAATCTAAGTTTCTGACTATTGTGTTAAAACTTCTTGGTGGAGAAAGTGATGTGCCGAAATATCATTGTGAGAACTACATATAAGAGAAATTGACTGCATCCAGACAGCTGTATTATAGAGGACATAACAATAGCACAACACCATATGTTTATAAGAGCCTACAATATTGCTTTACCATTTTTACCTGTTGCAAATGAAGGCAGATGCACCAGAAGATCACTGGCATCATTTGGAATTCGCCTTGAAATCCTTCGACTATCAGCTTCATCGAAATCATCATCCTCAAAATCATCAATATCATCAACAGATAATTCTTGAACTTGTCTGGAATTCAGGGACTGTGATTTTGATAGGTTTGAGTCATTGGACTCAATGGATGATTGCATTAAGGAAGGGACAGGTGATGGTGTGAAGACAGGGACAGACAATGGTGTGAAGACAGGGACAGGCGGTGCCCTTTTTGGAGGTGAACCTGAAGATTCAGGATTTGTAACCAAAAAGAATTCGTCGGTAGAACCTGTATTATTCTGGGAACAAAAAAAAAAAAAAAGGAGAAGGAATTACTAAATAGTAAATACATTGGATGGACTTTCAAAAACTAGAAGCATTTTTAAAAATAAAGAAAGAAAGAAAGAAAAAATGCCAAGGAAAGTAGGACCAGATGCAAAAATGTAGAAAAAGCTGCTAATATACCATGCGCACTAAATTAAACAGGCAATGGGGTAATATTATACTAAAATTATGCAAAAGGTTATATAATTTCATGGCAGGAACTCCAAAAGTTCAAACTAACACAATGAAGTATAAAATGAAATTATAACTTCCCAAAGAAAAAAAAAAATTTGGTATAACATGAAATTATAGCATATCCAATCTTACCATATGCGGGAATCCAGTGTTATCATGATAATCTCTAATGGCTTCAGAGAGTTCAAGCATTCCACCTGCATTTAGAAAGACCTATTAGAAAGAAGAATTATTATTTTTTAATTGTATATCAGCTAGTACCACATATAAAAACATATCTAACAACCTTTCTTAGTACAACTGAGAACATAATCGACACTAACTTGATCTAGATCCACATCATCTAATGATACTGCACCCGGAGGCATTACAACTTTCTTAATTAAGCTACCAGAGAGTATGAAATCAAGAAGTATCTGCCTGTCCCGCCTATATCTTTGAAGAAGCTCGTCAGCATTTTCCCTGAATTCATAAAAAATAATAATAACAGATAAGGAACTCAACCATTTTTTTATACTGAAGATACAGTAAGGGGATGGATTACAAATAATTCCATACTCTTCCATGGTAATCAAAGGCTTCAGAAATAAGCGATGAACTATTTTACAATAATCAAAGGTCAGGTACTCATCAGGTCCCAGAAACTTCAACAACAATTTCTGCAACAATGCTTGCTTCTCTACCTGAAAGCAAAAAAAAAAATAACACTATAATTTATAGTAAAAATATATGGTGTTCATTGATAATGTTATTAATTATGACACCAATCACTGAAGACACATTAATCAACAGCATTAGATTAAATGGAACTTCACAAAAAATAATTAAAATTTAGCTTGTAATCTCCATTAACTCCAAAAATCAAGTAAAACAGGTAGTAAATTGAAAGCAAAGCATAATTTGTTTGGTTGCCGGGAAAATAAATATGGAAGGAAAAAAAGAGTGAAATACCATGTCTCAAATTTTGCATTGACTGGAAGCTGACCAAGCAAAAAACACCCACTTGAATGAGTCATTCCAAAACATTTACCTTATTTGAAGCTAGCCTTTTACTCTCCCAGCAGCCAAATCAACACAAGATCCCAAGATTTTAACCCTTACGTTCTTTTATTATCTCAATTTTCTTGGCAGCCAAACAGATCGTATAATGAAATGTAAATAAGATTAATCCAAGACTTGAAGATACTGTAAAACGAACTAAATTTTATTAATTACCGAAAAAAAAAAAAACTAAATTTTATCAACCACTTAATCTTGAAATTGCAACGATAAATCAGATACAAGCACTTCAATTAAAAGCTTAAACTATCACTAGATTTAACAAACAACCCATCAAATTGCATCTAAATTAACTCGAATGTGTGAAATTCAGTATGCATTTTTTGTATAACAAAACTGGTCAAATGCACTTCAAAAACAGTCAATGGACACGAAAACAATCGATCTGACAGTGGAATTGGAAGGGAATGAGATTAAAATTGAAATGAATTGAGCTCAATCCACCATTTTTTAAGATGTCGGGTACCTTTGAGCGAAACTTCCTGTTTGAACTCGCTTTCTCTCTCTAGTCTTCGCATGTAGAGAGAGAGAAGAGACAGTGATTTGGGGAAGGCCAGTGATGTAATTTGAACTCGGCGGATAAGCGAAAGTCAGAGAACGAGAGAGACGTCGGAGTCGGTGTGATTTGTACGTCGCAGCTCTCTCTCTTTCGGGGTAATTTCGAAAAATACCCTTCACCATAAATATTTGTATCATATACAGTAACCCCTAATTTTTATCCCCTTAATTATGAAAAAAAAATTAGTATATTATAAATAAAGTTAAGGGGATGTTTGATTTCTTAATTCAACGCTGAATGCAGAACATAGTAAATGATTTTTTAAAATAAATTTGTTTGATAAAATTTTAGGACACTTTTAAAAGAGGTCAAAATTTTAAGCAGAGAAAGTTATTATGCCCTTATATAATTGTGTTATCTCTTTTAAGGTTTCTTTATGTAATTTTTCTAATGAAAATGAATTACATGTAACAAATTTTAAAAAAATAAAACTCCAAATTAAAATAAAAAATACTCTAAATACAATTAACTAAAAGTGAAAATATAAAATCACAATACTCCATCTAGACTGGGTTCACCCGGTTTCACAAGAGTTTTCAATTTAATTAAAAAATATATTAAATATTTCATTTAAACTTTCAACATGTCTTAAAAAATTATACCAATTGATTGGTTAAATATGGAGAACTTGTGACTTTACTCGTAAGTTTACTTGAGCATTACTCTTCTTTTTTTTAAAAAAAAGTCATAATTTATTCTGTGCATGGTGAAATGAAGAATGATAAATGATGTGATTATATCTATATCTATATCTATACTATTATTAAATATACAAAGAGTTTCAGTATTTCAGTATTTATTTATTTATATTATAAAATAGATATAAAAAAAATAGTTATTTTTTATAGATAATTATCACAATATAACCGTCCGGCCGAGTTATGATTATGTAATTATCAGGAGATGACACGTGTCATCATCCTATTAATTTAAGAAGCCTATAAATAGAGATATGGAGGAAGGAGGAAGGGGTACAAAAATTGAGAATTCTATAAATCCAGAATTTTAGAGTAAAATATAAAGCTCTGCCAAAGAGTTTTAGTATTTATTTCCTTATATAAAAAAATACTTATTAATTGATATAAAAAGAGTTTTTATCTATACAATTATTAATTGTATAAAAGTGCAAAAAGTTTCGGTATTTATTTATTTGCATAAAAAAATATTTATTAATTGACATGAAAAAAAACTATAAAACTCTAAAATCTAACTAATAAAATTTAAATTAACTTATTTATCTATTTATTATTATGAATTTTTTAATAAAAGAAAATCTAATTAGACAAGAATTATTAATATAAAAAATATTTATTAATTGATATATAAAATAAATAAATTTTCTAAAACTCTACCACAAATTAGCTTTTATTATGAGTTTCTTAATAAAATTAAATTTAATTAGACAATGCTATATTTATAAAAAAATAAAATAATTTATATAAAACTCTATCATAAATTACCTATTTTATTTTCAATAAAACTCTATCACAGTAAACAAATATATATTTAAAGAGTTTCTATAAAACTCTAACACAAATTACATATTTATATATTTATTATGAGTCCTAATTAGACAAGTATTATTAATATAAATTATTATTTATTAATCGATATAAAAAGAGGTTTTAAAAGAGTTTATATATAACTCTAACACAAATTACCTATTTATCTATTTATTATGAGTTTTTTTAATAAAAATAGTTTATATATAAAAAAAAAAAACTCCATAAAACTCTAAAATCTAACTAATAAAATTAAAATTAACCTAATTATCTATTTATTATTATTAATTTTTAATAAAAGAAAATATAATTAGGCAATAATTATTAATATAAAAAATATTTATTAATTAATATATAAAATAAAATATTTTTTCTAAAACTCTACCAAAAATTAGCTTTTATTATGAGTTTCTTAAAAATAAAAAAAAAATAAAAAAAAAACTCTAAAATCTACCTAATAAAATTAGAAATAACCTATTTTACTCTATCTCAAATTACTTATTTTATTTTCAATAAAACTCTATCACATCAGACAAAGATATATTTAAAGAGTTTCCATAAAACTCTTTAACAAATTACCTATTTCTCTATTTATTATGAGTTTTTTAATAAAAGAAATCTAATTAGAGAAGTACTATTAATATAAAAATTATTTATTAATAGATACAAAAAAGAAATTTTAAAAGAGTTTCTATAATACTCTAACACAGATTAACTATTTATCTATTTATTATGAGTTTTCTAATAAAAGAAAATCTAATTAGATAAGAATTATTAATATAAAAATATTTATTAATTGATATAAAAAGAGTTTTTAAAAAAGTTTATATGAAACTCTAATACAAATTTCCTATTTATTTATTTATTATGACTTTTTAAATAAAAGAAAATATAGTTAGACAATAATTATTAATATAAACTCTAATTACCTATTTTATTTTTTAATAAAACTCTATCACAAGATATATTTAAAGAGTTTCAACAAAACTCTAATACAAATTACCTATTTATGTATTTATTGTGAGTTTTTCAATAAAAGGTAATTTAATTAGCTAAGAATTATTAATATATAAAAATATTTATTAATTCATATAAAAAAGAGTTTTTAAAAGATTTTCTATAAAATTCTAACACGTATTACCTATTTATCTATTTATTATGAGTTTTTTAATAAAAGAAAATAAATTTTAACAAGAATATATGTAAAGAAAATAAAAAATTTCTAAAAAATCTATCACAAATTAGCTGTTTTATTTTCTATAAAATTTTATCATATTATCAATTTATTATGAGTTTTTTAATAAAATAAAATCTAATTAGACAATAATATATTTTAAAAAAATAAAATAATTTCTATAAAACTCTACCACAAATTAGATTTTTTATTTTCTATAAAATTCTATCACATATAACATGTATTTATCTATTTATAATGAATATTTTTACAAAAAAATAAAATAATTTCTTTAAAACTCTGCCACAAATTATCTATTATTTTTTATTTAAAACTTTATTACATATAACCTGTATTTATCTATTTAGTATGTGTTTTTTAATAAAAGGAAATCTAATTAGACAAGGATATAATTAAAGAAAATAAAAAAAAAATTTAAAAGAGTTTACATAAAACTTTAGCTCAAATTACCTATTTATCTATTTATTATGAGTTTTTTAATAAAAAAAAAATATAACTAGACAAGAATTATTCATATAATTTTTTTAATAATTGATATAAAAAATAAAATAAATTTTCTAAAATTCTATCACAAATTACGTTTTATTATGTGTTTTAGAATAAAAAGAAAATCTAATTAGACAATGATATATGTATTTAAAGAAAAATAATAATTTATATAAGACTCTACCACAAATTATCTATTTTATTTTCTATAAAACTTTATTACATTAGACAATGACTTATTTAAAGAAAATAAAATATAACCTAGGGTCTTCCAAAAAAAACCACAAATTCCCTATAATAAATTTTTATATCAATTTCAATCTAATGTATGTTTAGTATAATTGAATTTCTATTTTAAAATTTAATATAATGGAATTTCTATTGTAAATTTAAATTTATACTAAATTTCAAATTACCTAATAAAAATCAAATTGCTTAATAAAATTCAATTCTATACGTACTATTATATACATATATATATATATATAATTTTTTAAATATTACCTAATAAAATTCAAATTACAAATTAGCTAAAAAAATTTATTACTTTACAAAACTCAAATTTTACCACAAATTTCAGTAATAAAATAATTTTTTTTATTAATTAAGAAAAAATAAAATATAAATATTTCAGTATTAATATAAAAACCTAAAAAAATTTATTATTTTACAAAACTTAAACTTTGCCACAAATTTGAAAATATTTCAGTATTTATTTATTAATATAAAAAATATACATTAATTAATATAAAAAGTAATTTTTTGTAAGGTTTATTTTTACAAGCTTCAAATCAACAATTAGAAAATATATATATATATATATATATGAAAACAAAAATTCAATAGTTACAAAACATTACGTGCTTTTTCCTAGTGAAACAAAATGTGTGAAGGATAGTATTTTAATTTATCATCTTGATTGGATAGTTAAAAAAATAAAAATTGATCATTTATTGTATTTGGAAAAGAGAAATTTAAAATACAAAAGAAAAAAAAAATGAAAGAAAGAAATAAAGTGAGTGTTTTATTATATAAATACAGCTCATTATAAAATAATGAAAGAAAAATAAATAAATAAAAAGCATACCCTTAAACTTATGGTCAAAATAATTTTTTTACAACTTTTTTGGGCTAATCCGATAATAATTGAGTAGGGAAAAAAAAAAAAAAAAAAAAACCTATTTTCTATTTTAAAATTTAATATAATGGAATTTCTGTTGTAAATTTAAAATTATACTAAATTTCAAATTACCCAATAAAATTCAAATTACAAATTAGTTAATAAAATTCAATTCTATACGTACTATTATATATATATATATATATATATATATATATATATATATATATATATATATTTTTAAATATTACCTAATAAAATTCAAATTACAAATTACCTAAAAGAATTTATTACTTTGCAAAACTCAAACTCTACTACCAATTTCAGTAATAAAATAATTTTTTTATTAATTAATACAAAATAAAAAATAAATATTTCAGTATTAATATAAAAACCTAAAAAAAATTATTATTTTACAAAACTTAAACTCTGCCACAAATTTCAAAATATTTCAGAATTTATTTATTAATATAAAAAATATTTATTAATTAATATAAAAAGAGTTGCAAAAAATTGTAAGGTTTATTTTTTACAATGTTCAAATTAACAATTAGAAAAAAATATATATATGAAAAGAAAAATTCTATAAGTTATAAAATATTCACTAAGTGCATTGCACTTGTCTTTTCCTAGTAAAACAAAATGTGTAAAGAATAGTATTTTAATTTATCATCTTGATTGGATAGTTAAAAAGATAAAAATTGATCATTTATTGTATTTGGAAAAGAGAAATTTAAAATAAAAAAGAAAAAAAAAATGAAAGAAAGAAAG